GTCCGCCAATCACCGCAGACTTCGTCAGAACTGGGAGGGTACTTCAGTACTTCGCCTTATATGGTGCTCTAATTGCATACCAAAGAGTCTCCACCTCGCCATCTTGTGTTGAAAGAGTATCACTACATTGGAATGATCCAAAGTGAATTAAAACACATATATTGAATTTAAATTTAAAATGGTTGCTGGATATAGAAGGAAGGAGCCTAAATGTTAACAGTCAGATCATCTTCAAAAAGGAATTAATGATAGAGAGGAGATCAATATTAGCACAATACTTATTCTAAAGAGGAGAACATCAAGACCAAGTCCCGTTACCTCAGCTTTAATATCAATCCAATTATTATAAAGATTTATTTTTATTATCTAGAGGAAATAGGATCAAGTACAGGGTTAAGTTCATATTTTGTCCAAATATGTCCATATTCAATTCACATAAAAGATACCACAATATAGATTATAGCTTGGGATATATAGGGGGTTCCAAGAGACTCATTTAAAAAAAAACCCAAAGTTAAGTTCTGTATTGAGTCCGTATGGGGCAAGTGCTCCCAGGGTATAGATCCAGAATTTTTCCTTTTGTAGGAGGAAATATTCAGCAGAAAGATCCCTTTTACTTTTAGACCATCTGTTTTGCCCCCATGAACTTCTTTGAAGTGTTGAGCCAATGGGTTTTCTTTTTCTCCCTTTCTAACATTTCTATTTTCATTTCTGATATCTCTCAGATGTTCACCAATCCTCGTCCTAAGGTTTCTTTTAGTTTTACCTATATACATCTTCTTGCAAGGGCATTCTATCATGTACACTATTTTGCTACTTGAGCAATTAATGAAGCTTCGTATGTGGAATATCTTAGAGTTATCATTATTAAAGAACTGATTAGACTTATGCACAAATGGACAAATCTGACAATGGCCACAGGGGAACATTCCATATACCCCAGTCCTCCTCGTTAACCAGTTTCTTTGTGGTGCCCTCTGGAATTCTGATTGTACTAGTATATCATTTAGATTCCGAGTTCGTTTTGCTACCATTTGGGGGCTCTCTCCTACTACTTTGGCTATCTGCGGATTTTGAGTTAATAAGTACCAATGGGAGTCCAGGGCCTTCTTAACTTCACCCCATTGTTGTCCAAATTTAGTTATAAATCTTACCGGTTGGTTTTCAAGGTTCTCAGCTAACTTTAGTTTTGGTTTATTTATCAGTTCCTCTCTTGTTTTACCGAGGGCTCTTCTTTTTGCTCTTCTTAGGGTTCTATGTGAATAGCCTCTCTCTCTGAACCTCTTATATAGCTGAATAGATTCATATCTATACTCCAAATCTTCTGTACAGTTTCTTTTTATTCTCTGAAATTGACCAATAGGGATTCCTTGTTTTAAACTCCTTGGATGATAGCTATTAGCATGGAGAAGTGTATTCGCCGCTGTTTCCTTTCTAAATGTTTTAGTGACCAATTTATTTCCGTGGATAGAGATTGACAAATCCAAAAAAGTTATCACCTCTCTATCTACTGTATAAGTAAGTTTGATATTTCTATCATTCTCGTTCAGGAATTCCATAAACCTTTTAAGCTCATCAATACTACCATCCCAGACCATCAGGACATCATCAATATATCGCAACCAAGTTATTGCGTATTGGTTATAGGGAGTAGAGGGATATACTAACTCCTCTTCCCATAGACCTAGATGCAGACATGCAAATGCCGGGGCCCAAGGTGCTCCCATGGAGGTACCACATATTTGTTGGTAAAAGGAACCCAAAAACTGAAAACAGTTATGGGTCAGCATAAAATCCAACAAGTCCAATATAAATTCATTTTGAGCCTCCATGTTATATGCTATATACACAGTTTATGTGTTTGGAATCCATATATTGTGACTACCTGGCTCCCCACCCCCACATGTATCTTGGAAAAGCATCAAGGACCTGATCCTATTTCAAGTCGACAGAAGTCTTCTTGATCTTCATTTATGGTAATATACCCACTCTATGTGTGTCTTGTTTTCAGGGTGACCTGATGCCCATGATTTTTATATGTATCACTATTTTTCTATATATATCCTCAGAATCATTTGGTACTGTGGACTCTGTTTCACTTGGGGTGGCTATCCAGGAAGTCCCTACATTTGAGAAGTTGGCCTGTTAATCTCACTATTGAGAAGGTAATAGTAGTATCCATTGACTACTGTAGAGGGAGGCCTGGTGAACTTTGGATGTGTTTTGGTTTTTTGGTTTTCATACTTCTATATATATACTATGTATTTCTGTGTTCCAGCTTTTTCATACCAGGAGATACCTGACATATATTGGGAACACATTTGCTGAATACATGGTTCACTTGAATACAAGACGAAAACCCATGGAAACCCAGGATAACTATATCACCATTATATAACTCTGCCTTATGGTACTCTATTTGCTAAGATGACCCGAAACTGAAGACGCCTAGTGCTTTTTAACATGATTTTATTTTTTTTTTCATATGTACACCGTGCTCATGTTTAACCTCCTTATGATCTATGTGATCAAATAAAGTATTGTTTGGAATATTTTTGAATTCATATTACTCCGCGGGGATCACCTAGTAACCTTCTTTTTCCAGGTAGGGGTGTTCTTGTCACACTACCATTTTGCTTAGTATGTACCTTTTGGGTTTATGGATCCACACTTACACAAGTGAGTCGGAGATAAGTCAATGACACCAGCCATACGTGTCATTCTGGGTGGCCTGTTTGTGTTTTATTGTTGTGGCATGTATGTGCAGGCAGAGTGACATCGATTGCAGGCAATACAGGACGCTATCTCCCATGGCAATCTCTTCCATATGAAATGCGGTGTAAAAGGTGTAAAATTTCACGGGTGTCTGCAGCTCTGGGTCTTGTAATGTTTGGTGTCTATTTACTCTTTTATATCATCTTTTATATTTTACCAAAAAGTGGGTATTATGTTGTATTTGTGTGCACCAATATTCATTTTAGTGTATTTTTTCCTGAAAATTAGCATTTGATAAATGGCTGTGCTAATATCAAGAAATTGCAACGGCTGCCATTTTATTACCCAGGGCCTCTGCTTTCAGAAAATATTTACCATATTTTTTTCTCCATAAGATGCACTTTTTTCCCCAAAACAAATGGGGGGAAATGTCTGTGCGTCTTATGGAGCGACTATGGAGCGGTCGGCCCGGTATTCACCCCGTCGCCACCACTGTGTTAGAATACTGGGCCGCCGCCGCTCGGCTCTTCTGCGGCAGAAGAGAGGAGGAGTCTGAGGAGTTTGAGAAAAAAAAAAGTCAGCTGCTATAAAAACTATAGCTGCTGACTCTTAAAATACAGACATTTACCTGTTCCTCGATTCAGCGTTATCCTCACTACAGCTGGTTTCACCGGCTGTCTTCTCTCCCTGGCGCCGGCATCTTTAGTCTGGGCACCCAGCTGTGACAGCTTTGCGGCTTCACATCCGGGTGCCCACTGCACATGCGCGAGAAGCGCTACGCTTTGTGAATGGCCCCATAGTCTTCTGGGACCTGTCATGTGTCCCAGAAGACTATGGGGAGGGAGTGAGAGAAGACCACTTCCACTTCTGATCACCTAGGCGGTCGAAGCGGAATTGGGGCGGGTACCTGTCAAATCCGGGTACCCGCTCCCCCCCGCTTCCCAAAGGTCTGCAGTCTCTGGTCATCTCCCGTACTATGTCCGCAGTCTCTGGTCATCTCCCGTACTATGTCAGCAGTCTCTGGTCATCTCCCGTACTGTGTCCGCAGTCTCTGGTCATCTCCTGTACTGTGTCCGCAGTCTCTGGTCATCTCCTGTACCGTGTCCGCAGTCTCTGGTCATCTCCTGTACTGTGTCCGCAGTCTCTGGTCATCTCCCGTACTATGTCAGCAGTCTCTGGTCATCTCCCGTACTGTGTCCGCAGTCTCTGGTCATCTCCTGTACTGTGTCCGCAGTCTCTGGTCATCTCCTGTACTGTGTCCGCAGTCTCTGGTCATCTCCTGTACTTTTTTTTTTTTAATTTGAATATTTATTGATTTTCAAAATATTAGGAAAATTAAAATCTACAATATAAATTCTTTACATTCATATAACAATATCTACCTTATACATTCATTTCCCATATTTTCCTCATTTCTCCCAACCCCCCCATTAGTAAAATCAAAAGTCACCCCCCTCCCATCCCTCCCACCCCACCCTTCGACTACCACTCTTTGGCAAGAGAAAAGGAGGCTCTAAATCGTGTTCTCACCACAGAGGGGCAGGAAAAAGAGAAGCCTTATTCTCATCCGCTCACCCTTGATCTAAACTCTTCCCATTTTTTCCATTTCGCATGGTATATCACCAAACCATCTTCCTGGGTATAAAACAGTTTCTCTAATCTTACAATATGGTCCACTCCAGGGGTGGACTGACCATTTGGAAACTCGGGCACTGCCCGAGGGCCCGGGGTCAGTAGGGGGCCCCATGAAATGCCCCTGGTACCTTTTTCATAGGCTTTTTTGAATTTGGACAAGGACACAGGGGCCCCACGATCCCCTATTGCCCAGGGGCCCCATGAGTTGTCAGTCCGCCCCTGGTCCACTCTATCTATCCAGTCTTGTTTTTTTGGAGCTTCTACTTGACGCCAAGACTTTGGAATCAATCCCTTGTCTGCATTTAAAAAGTACCATGCTCCTGATTCTTTATATTTATTTACTGTTATTTCTGTATTATGCAAAAGGAAGGTTCCAGGGTCCAGACTAACATCAACTTCCGTAATCATTCCAATTTGGTGTACCACTTTTCTCCAGAATACTTGTATCTTTGGACATTCCCACCATATGTGATAAAACGTGGCTTTCTCTCCACACCCCCGCCAACAAAATGGTGATTTCTCCCCACTCATCTTATGTTCTATACTCGGTGTAATATATCCTCTTGTCAAACATTTAAAATTCATTTCCACCTCCCGTGAACTTATATTCTCGTGAACCAATCGAAATATTTTTTTCTGTTTAACCTCATCTATCTCCACACCCAGATCTCTTGCCCATTTTTCTATATACTACATTAATTTTTTTCCACCTATATCTAACTCAGTGAGAATTTTATAAATTTTTGCCGTGCCATGTTTCCCATCACCTCGTGATCCCAACAACTTCTCAAACAAGTTCCAATCTATACTCGCTCTCAAAGGCTTAGGCAATTTCCCCACAAAACATTTTAATTGATTATAACTCCAACTATCTATCCTAGTGAAAATCTTTCCCTCTTTCTTTTTCAAATCCTTAAGTGTTCTCAATTCTACACCTTTCAATATATCTCTCAACTGGGCTCCCTCATTCCTGATCCATTTTCCTGAAACCTCCTCCCTACCTGGCGGGAAGAACCCTGAATTTCTCAATGGCATCAGGAATGAGTTAAACTCCCACTTTAACCTCCTTAGCGGTGTTCCCGAGTGTAGCTCGGGGTAAAATTTCTATACCAAAAGCGATAACCCCGAGCTACACTCGGGCTTACCATGCGGCGTTGCTCTGTGGGTCCCTGCAGCACTTACCTTGTCCTTCGCTCCCATGATGTGTCCCCTGCAGTGTCCCCGGCCATCTCCTCCGGCCGATGCCGGCATCCGGCTTCTGTGTTCCGGTCCCTGTGACGTCGGGACATACGGGCGCCGGAACCGGCGGCAAATTTGAATTTTTTAAAAAATGTAATTTTTGCTGTCATTGCTATTTCAATGCATTTCACATACATTTTGTCCCTACTGCTTTGTCCGGCGCCCTGCCTGCATTTTGAATGTTCTTTCTGCCTGGAAACTTAGAAAAGTCCAAAAAGCGTCGCTTTACGTCAAAAGCGGTTTTAGACCAGCTAGAGAACAGCGATAGTAAATTAGAACCACTTGCAGAATTGAGTGATAATGATTCGTGGGGGAAATTCCTCATCAGACACTGAAAACGATTCTGCGACTTTGCTCAACAATGTTCGAATTTGCCTCTGTATTTCAAATTTCAGTGTTTTTGGTTTGATTATATTATTGAATTAAATTTATTATTATTATATTATTATTTTTTATGATTATTTATTAAATTATAATTTATGATTTCGTGTTTCAAATTTTATCATCCCCGGGATGTTTAATAGACTCTTGTTCGGACAGATTTCAGTGAGTTATTCCTAAGAATTAAAGCCTACAATAAAAAACTACATATTTCTATGCAAAAAAATGGTACCGCTTTCAGCACAAAAAATTGGAAAGAATCAGACCGCCGAGGAGGTTAACTGTCTTTGCATTTTATCCCACACTCTTAACACATTTAAAGTATACACGCTCGTGCTTTCTTTTAATCCTCTATACTCCGTAGGCACCCATATACTCCTACTTAAATTATTACCACTAAGTGAATTTTCTATTGTGACCCAACTTTTCCCTTTTACATTATTTGTCCAGTCAAATATTCTAGCCAAAATAACTGCATTATAATATCTCTTAAAGTCAGGCACTCCCAATCCGCCGTTCTCTTTATTTCTAGTTATCACTTCATAAGATACTCTAGGTTTTTTATTTCTCCAAATAAATCTTATCTTTTTCATTATCTTAAAATATACCTCTGGAAGCTTAATAGGGACCATTTGGAATTTATATAGAATTTTGGGAACTACAACCCATTTTTATCAAATTTATACCTCTCAACCAGGACCGATTTCCTCCCTTTAGTCTCTTTAATTCCTCTCTAATTTGATAGTAGCTGGGGACTTTATGTATGGACCCACAAATGGATACTACTTCATCTACACAAAGAGAGGGTAGTAAGTCCCTAAAAGTACTGAGGAAAGCGATAAGGGAGTATCAGCTGGTAGATAGTTGGAGAACTATACACATGAACGATAGAGACTATTCCTTCTTCTCAAGGGCCCATGAGATGTATTCTAGACTGGACTACATACTGATAGATCACTGATTAACCATTTCAATACCGGGCAATTTTACACCTTCCTGCCCAGGCCATTTTTCACGTTTCAGCGCTCTCACACTTTGAATGACAATTGCGCGGTCATACAACATTGTACCCAAACTAAAATTTTATCATTTTCTTCACACAACTAGAGCTTTCTTTTGGTGGTATTTAATCACCGCTGGGGTTTTTATTTTTTGCTAAATTAACAAAAAAAGACCAAAAATTTTGAAAAAAAAAAAAAAAAAACACGTTTTTCTTTGTTTCTGTTATAAAAGTTTACAAATAAATAATTGTTCTTCATAAATTTAGGCCGAGATGTATTCTGCTACACGTCTTTGGTGAAAATAACCCAAATTAGGATGTATTATTTAGTTTGTAGGAAAGTTATAGAGTTCACAAACTATGGTATAGATCTGAATATTGATCAATCCTGAAGTACTGACAGCCAATCTAATTTCTTGAGGTCCAAGAATGTCAGGACAGTACAGATATCCCCCAAATGTAAGGACAGTACAGATATCCCCCAAATGTCAGAACAGTACAGATATCCCCCAAATGACCCCTTTTTGCAGAGTAGACAGTCCGACGTACTTCATAAGAGGAATGGCGAGTTTTTTGAAGTTGTATTTTTTTTGTCATAATTTTTCGGAAAATTAAAAAATTAAAAAAATTATTTTCACTATTTTTTTTTTACATACAGTCACCAGTGCAGTACAGCGTCATCATATAACTGGCATGGCAGTGAACAGGGACACTGACTGGTGACAGTATGAAAAAAAAAATATATATATTTTTTTTAATTTTTTTTAATTTTTTTATTATTTTAAATTTTTTATTACATTTTTTTTATGATTTTTTTTCATATTTTACTATGACCAAAGTAGTACAGTGTTACCATAGTAACATTGTACTACTTTGGGGAAGTGATCAGTATTTTTTTTTTACACAATTTGCTTATAGCAAAGAATTACTTTGCTATAAGCAAGCATTTACCTGAATGAAATCGATTCATTCAGCTTTTTTTTTTTTCTTTTTTTTTTTGTGCTTAGCTGTGATTTGGTCACAGCTAATCACATGACATGTACATGTGATTAGCTGTGACCATTCACAGCTAGGCACTAGTATACAATGAATGGCATGAATGAAGCCATCCATTGTATACAACTGTCATGTGACCTGCTGTGATTCGTCACAGCAGGTCACATGGTACCAGCAACGGGGGCCGGTACTCAGATCTGTCATCGGCCGTGTCCGAGGTACGTGGCCGGTGACAGATCGCGCCGCTGTGCCGCTCTGCATTAGCGCAAACTGCGCATGTGCGGGAGCACGCCAAATGGCGTGCACCCGGAGTGCAGCAGCGCTTTTGAAGCCGCCAAACGGCCATTGGCTGGGCGGCTAATGGTTAATAGAGTCTTTGGTTAGAGTGACAATAGAGGTAATGTCACTCTCAGACCATGCCCCGGTTGCAATGAAAGTAGGATGGGGAAGAAGGCCTCCAGGACGGTCGATGTGGCAGTTGAATGAGGCTCTCCTAATGGATCCAGAGACTGAGCAAAGGATTGGAGAGGAGATTAAGAGATATTTTGAGAAAAATGAAACGGGAGATGTGTCGGAGACTACAGTGTGGGAGGCCCATAAGGAGTCTTTATTGCAATTGGGGCTAGAAAGAAAAGGGAAAGGACAGAGAAGTTCAGTAGGCTTCTAAAAGAACTGGCGGAGGTTGAACAAATGCATAAAAAGAATATAACGAAAGAGATAATGCAGAAGGTAAAGGAACAGAAAGAAGAATTAGAGATTATGATGGAAGAGGAGAAGAAGAGAGTCTTTAACAAAGTATAATGTGAAAGATATAGATGGGGGGATAGAACAGGAAAGTTTTTAGTGAGAGCTTTGAGGAAAAAGAAAAATAGGAATTATATAGAGAAAATAAAGAACCCCAAGGGAGAACTGGTTCACTCAGCTAAAGATATTGTGAAAGTGTTTAGGGATTATTATAGCAAACTTTATAACATTGTCCCCCAAGATTTAACATGTAAGGATGGAATAACAAATGTAGAAAAAAAGAATATATTTAAAAAATGCAGGACTACTGAAATTAAATGAAGATCTTTTGAATTCTCTATAATCTGAAATTACTTATGAAGAAATAAAGATAGCATTAAAAAAATTCTATGACAGTCAAAAGCCCAGGACCAGATGGGTATACTGTTAGATATTTATAAAAAATATAGTGAATTGTTAATACCTAAATTGAAGTCCTATTTCAACGCCTTGGGGGAAGAGATGGATATGAGACGAGAATCACTGCAGGCTCAGGCGGTCCTCATTTATAAGGAAGGAAAAGACCCCACCCAATGTTCAAGCTATAGACCAATATCATTATTAAATATAGATATGAAGATTTATGCAAAGATCTTAGCAAACAGATTGAAAGATTTAATGCCCGAATGGATACATGAAGATCAGGTGGGTTTTGTCCAGGGGAGAGAGAGTAGAGATAATGGGTTGAGATCATTGTTGCTTATTCCGAAAAGTAGAAAGGGAAAGATGCCAGTGGTGGCTCTTTCAGTGGATGCAGAGAAGGCATTTGATAGAGTTAATTGGGGATATATGATGGATACATTGGAGATCCTGGGAGTGGGTGCTAGAATGAGACCGTGGATAGGAAAGTTGTATAAGAGCCCCTCTACAGTGGTTATGGTAAATGGGGGAGTGCTGCTCCTGCACTTTTGATCTCCTGTGTGCCAAACCAAACCAGGACCTGATTTGACCCGTTTATTTTCTGCCTGCTGTTTTGTACTGACCTGCTCCGCTTTGAATTTGCATCCGAATCTCTGAAGGTGGGATTCGTGATATCCTTGCTCCAGGGTGAACCCCAGGCCTGGGCACATCGTCTTTTGGAGGCTCGCCATCCACATGTGAACTCTGTGGCTGAATTTTTCAAGGCGATGTGTACAATTATATGACGATCCTCAGCGAGCTGCTTCAGCCGAAGCAGCCCTACATTCTCTGCAGCAGGGACACCGGGTAGCAGAGGATTATGTTTCAGAATTCAGGTGTTGGTCTGGAGATACGCAATGGAATGATGCAGCACTGCGCCATCAGTTCCGCCTAGGGATTATTCGAGCCCCTAAAGGATGAAATTGGCCAGGGTTAGGTGTGCCTGATTCTTTGGAGAAATTAATCACCCTGGCAAATTCAGATTGAACCGTAGGTTACGGGAACGAAGGCAAGAAAGGTCTGGTCAAGGGTCAAGCCTACATGGATGTTTTACCACGGGTCCCAATCTCATCACATCCTGCAGTCAGCAATCGGAGTCCTGAACCTGCGGACAGAACAGAGCCTATGCAACTTGGTTTAATGCAGCCATCTCTCACGGCTGAGGAACGCACAGACACAGAGTGAATTATCTATGCCTATACCGCGGAGCAGCAGGTCACATGGTTGCGTTCCTGTCCTGAGAAGCTCTGTAAGTACTAACTACCATTTTTTTCTATGTCTCCACCTGTGTAGATGATCCTACTCATGTAGTCGTGCCCATCTCGTTCCAGCTCCCCAGGAAGAACTTGCAGATAATGGCTATTCTTGATTCTGGGGCCTGCAGTTGCTTTGTGGACCTAACTTTGCAGCTCAGCAACGAATTCCGTTATTGTCCAAAGAACGAGGGTTGAATATTTTTCTGGCTGATGGTTCACAAATTAAATCAGGGTTGGTAGATCGAGAGACCCCTCCTTTGTGCACCACAGTAGCAGGCCACCACCAGGGAACTCCTCCGCTTGGGCGCTTTTGCGTCCCTCTATTTACAGTGATTTTGGGGCTCCCATGGTTACGGGCTCTTGATCCCCAAATTAACTGGAAGACTGGATCTGTTCAATTTCACTCACTATACTGCCAGGAGCACTGTCTCCTAAAGTCATCACCAGGGCCCCCAACTTTGTTGTGTGTGAATACAGATACAGATCTAGCACAGACTGTGCCCTCCGCATACATCATTTCCTTGACATGTTCGGCCCGCGAGGTGCAGCGATTCTCCCTCCGCACCGGCCTTATGACTGCCCTATTGACCTGCTCCCGGGATTCAAGATTCCCTTCGGCCGAATCTTCCCGCTGTCTGAACGAGAGTTGGGCGCCCTAAAAGAATAACACATTGATGACAGTCTGCCCCTCCACTTCACCAGCCGGGGCGGGAATCTTTTTCTTAGAGAAGAAGGACCAGAACCGGTAACCCCTTCCCTTAGTCCCTGAATTATTTCAGAGACTAAAGACGGCCTCCATTTTACCAAACTAGACCTCAGGGGAGCCTATAATCTGGTGCGCATTCAGGAGTGGAATGAGTGGAAGACCGCCTTCCGCATTCGCTTTGGGCACTTTGAGTAC